CTTCCGGTTTTCTGGTGGTTTATTGGAGATAGGAGTCTCACAGTCGCTCCTGCCCGGGCTGGCTTTGAACCGTGATCCTCAGAGCTCAGCCTCCTGAGTAGCTAGGATTACAGGCGTGAGCCACCAGCGCCCGGCTGTTTTTTTTTTTTAAAGAAGGAAATAAATTGAACAGAGCAAGCTCCTATGACAGCGTGTGCTTCTGTTTTCTAGTAATATATATACTCATATGCACACACACACACACACACACACACACATACACACTCATCTCATATAATTAATTATGAAAGATCTAGGGAACTTTCATGAAGACTGGCATGTAGTAAGCTCTCCTGAATGCTAGCTCTTGTGTCACCATTGTGATAACTATTGTATTCCATGGTCCCTAAGACAGAATCCAGCCCAGGCATTCATGAGCAGCCCAGTAAACACTCTGTTCAGACTGAAGAGCTCTCTGTGTTTTTAGTGCAAGTGCTGCCAAAGTGAACATGTGCTCTGACAAACACTGAGCCCTGGTGCCGTGCCAGCCACCATGGATGGCATCAGCTCCTAATGCAGTGTCCTGTTCTGATCTTTGTAAACTTGGTATCTATCATAGTAAATCTATTTGGACAAGAAAAACAAGGCCCAGGAAGTCATCTGCAAGACACAGGGACAGATTAAAATAGACACAAGGTGTATAAGGGAAAGTCAATATAGGCATTCTGACTCAAGTTCTTGCTGTTCATTGCTCACAGAGAGTGCAGAGGAAAGGCAGCCATTCGTTGATGCTCTGCTCCTGTCTTCTAACATTTAAGGAGCTATCACTGTATGTACGATCCACATTCTAAAACGATGGCAACAGAACTTTTTTGTTTTACTTTCTTAATTAGCTTTAAGTAGCTGTCTGGAAGGGTTTCAATTCAAGGGAAGCCTTTTAAGTTTCAAGAGACCCTGGGATAGAGCCTAGGGGCTAGAAACCTGCCCACGTGGTTATGCCGGACTACAAACGAGATCATTTCCCACCGGTTAAGGTCCAGTCCACAGAAAGCACGTAGCTGGCACTCATTGGAGGTCTCTGCTGTCCGCCGGGTCCTACATTTCATGGCATGCTTGTGCCTCACCAGCCCTACAGTCCACATCTAGCCTTATTCTGTAAGTATGCACATCAAGGCTCAGAAAGTTCACACAATAAACCAGAGATCTCACACTCAATGTACAAGTGAGTTTCAAACACACTCATCATCCCACCAAGGTGTCTTAACTACACAGCACTGCTTCTTTTTTTTTTTTGGGGGGGTCCAGTCGTGGGGCCTGAATTCTGGGCCTGGGTGCTGTCCCTCAGCTCTTCAGCTCAAGGCTAGCACTCTACCACTTGAGCCACAGCGCCACTTCCGGCTTTTTTCTTTTTGCTTATGTGGTGCTGAGGAATCGAACCCAGGGCCTCAGGCGTGCAAGGCAAGCGCTCTACCACTGAGCCACCTTCCCAGCCCACAGCACTGCTTCTTAATATAAGGGATTATCTTTCAAGCTGTGGTTGAATTCTAGCTCTGCTACTGTAGCCACATAATCAGGAGTAAGCTTTTAACCTCTCCTTCACCTTTTTTTTTTTTTTGTAGGTCGTGGGGCCTGAACTCTGGGCCTGGGTGCTGTCCCTCAGCTCTTCAGCTCAAGGCTAGTGCTCTACCATTTGAGCCACAGCACCACTTCCGGTTTTTTTTCTGCTTATGTGATAATGCTCATGCATGTGAGGTAAGCACTCTACTACCGAGCCACCTTCCCAGACCCTCTTCTTCACCTTTGAGTGGTAGCCATAATAGTACCCACCTAAGAATTGTGATAATTAAATGAAATGATGCATACTCACTTGAAGCATCATACTTCAGGTCAAGAAAGCTTTGTCAGCCTCTGTTGTTATCATACACTACTACTGGGTATTATTCTGAAAAGAAAAATCAGGCACTGGTGGTTCACACCTATCATCCTAGCTACTCAGGAGGAAAAGATCTGAGGACCATGGCTCAAAGCCAGCCCAGGCAAAAAAGTCTGTGAGACTCTTATCTCAATAAACTACCCAAAAGTGGGAAGTAGAGGTATGGCTCAAATGGTAGAGCACTAGCGTTAAACAAAAAAAAGCTCAAGGGCAGTGCCTATGCCCTGAGTTCAAGCCCCGGGACTGGCACCAATTAAAAGGGGAAAAAAAGGAAGTTCCACCCTTGGGTGTCCCTTCCTCTTCAGAAGCTACACAGTTCAGGGGCTGGGAAGGTGGCTCAGTGGTAGAGCGCTTGCCTTGCATGCCTGAGGCCCTGGGTTCGATTCCTCAGCACTACATAAGCAAAAAAAAGCCAGAAGCGGCGCTGTGGCTCAAGTGGTAGAGTGCTAGCCTTGAGCTGAAGAGCTGATGGACAGTGCCCAGTCCCAGAGTTCAGGCCCCACGACCCAAAAAAAAAAAAAAAAATTAAAAAAAAAAAAAGAAGCTACACAGTTCAGACTTGGGAATCACAGTCTCTTCCCTCAGGCATCAGTGGGGCCTCTGGCACCACGGAACTCAATGTAGTGCAGAGTGCAGGGTGTTTCAGGGTGATGTCAGAACAGGACTGACTCTGTCTCATCCCTTCTTGGCCTACATTGCTCAAGACAGCAGCCAACAGCCACACAAAGCTACTGATCACTGGAGATATAGCTAGTCCCTGTGCTAAACAGAGTCTCAATACAAAAAAACCAAAGTATATCTCATTAGCTTTTATATTATCTGTTAAATAATATTTTGGATATGACAGGTTAACTAAAAATGTTTTTATGCTTTTAACTAAATATCCATCAAAAAATAAATTTCATCTGTATCTTTTAACATCTTAAAAAGTGGCAGCTAGAGTTGGGCACCAGGGGCTTATACCACCAGCTACTCAAGAGGCTAAGATATGAGAACGGTGATTCAAAGCCAGCCCAAGCAGGGAAAGCTCATGAGGCTTAACTCCAATTAATTGCCAAAAAGCTGAACATGTTTCTAGCTCACACAGCAGGGCACTATCATTTATCAAAAAAGCTCAACAACAGTGCTCAGGCCCTGAGTTCAAGCCCTAGGACCAGCACACATTAAAAAAAAGTGGCAGCTAGACAACTTTACATGAGACATGAAGCTCACGTGCTAACTGTTCTAGACCACACTGCACTGCACCAAAGATCTTCGCTTGTGAGGATCCAGAGTGTGGAGAGCACCAGAGCGGTGCCGACCAGCTCTCCCGGCCCCCAGCCCCAGCCCCAGCCCCACCTGAGGGGCAAGAATGGCAAACGCAAGCTGTCTTCACCATGACACACGTTACGTCTTCTACATGAGCCACCAGCCTAATCTCTAGCAAAAATGATTGGCTGACAAAGCTTTGTAAAGTATGACAAGAAGAGAATAATAGATGCACGATCTGACTAAGTCACTCACAAAAGAGAAGCTAAAGTGGCTACATATTTTCCGCATAAACTGATAAAGGAAGAAATACAATGAAAGTATTTTTCAGTTTAGAAGTAATAACAATTCAGTTAAACAAACTTTACTGAGACCCCAAGCAATGAGTTTAAAAATATTTCCCACGATACAATACGTATTAGAATTTTTCCTGTGTAAAAATTCAATGTGTTTAAGAAAACAAAAAAATAAATAAAACAAAAGCCCCAGACTAAAGGCATGGCCTCCATGCAAGGGACGACGGGTTTCTCCGATTTTTCAGACATTTTATGTAAGGAGTATGTATAGCTATATGTTAAAACATAAACCATTACCTGAGTAATACATGTGCATCACAGAGAAGAAGAAACTATAAGAATCAAGAAAAGGAAACAAACTGAAAAAACAAATAAATGAAATGATAAAGGCCCTAAATTTTGGCCATGAAAAGGTTCAAATTTAGATACTTTTCATTCAGTAAAAACACTTCATATTTATTGGGAGTTCTGCAACTTTCCGTATTTTCTAGAATGTTCTGATTCTCAAAGCAACACAGTAAACAATTGGTTTCAAACATCAATTATCTCTGCATAAGGAAACTGAAGGCAATACGGCTTTCCTTCCTTTAGGTGAGCAGGAAAAATGATGGGAATTACGTGCATTTTTCAATTATCCACAATGAGCATGTTCTATTTGTGGAAGTATGTCAGTTGGCTTGAGGAAAAACTGGCTATAACAAATTATGGATAAAGAAACAAGTGGTGCATGCCAGTAGACCAAGTTATTGAGTAAGTTGAGGCAGGAGATCACGTGAGCCCAAGTGCTCAAGACCAGCTGAGCACCATGGTGAGCCCCCCACTTCTGAAAGGGCAGGCAGAGGCAGAGGGAGGAGAGGGAGACAAGGTAGGAGAGAGAGGAGAGAGAAGAGAAGGGGAGAGAGAGGATAGAGGCAAATAGGGGAAGGGGGAGAGGTGAAACTATGGTTTTCAGAACTTAATTTGCTGGCACGTCAGGGGACTAATCCACTTGAATCCCTTTGGTCAGGTAAACCCAAGTTTCACAAATGTTCAAATCAAGTCTCTACGGTTGGGTAAACTAAGATCAAAATGATTGCTATGTAAATACAGATAACCCTCTTGTTTAGAATAGTTGTTCCCTTAATGAATTATAGCTGGAATTGTCAGGTTTCTTGGGAAAGTAACTTGAACTTGACCCTAATGTCTTAAAATTCCCACACTTGCAGACCTGTGTGTCAGAACAAAGGGCATTTTACTTCTCTTACCCAGTAAGTCAGCCTACATACCACAAAACTCCTGAGTTCTGATACTGGTCTTCTAACACGCTTTCATGGTAGCATTAAAACAGGGCTCATGGCCTTCCTTTCACTAGGGAAGATGTGTTTGTGTTGACTGAACAATTCTAGATTTGATTTACCACCTTTTGGTCCTATGTACTAGCTCATTCCTTATGGCCTAAGCTGCAAGTAATTTAACATTTTGGAAACGTATCACTCAAAACTCTCCCCCTTCCTTCAGCCACTTCTAACTATGGGACCACCAACGTTTCTTTCTTTTTCTTATTTCTGCTGCCAGGTCATGGGGCTGGAGCTCGACCTGGGCGCTGTCCCTGAGCTTTTGTGCTCAAGGCTAGCACTCTACCACTTGAGCCACAGTACTATGTTCAGCTTTTTGTGTTTCATGGAGTCTCACAGACTTTCTGCATGGGTTAGCTTCAAACTGCAATCCTCAGATCTCAGCCTCCTCAGTAGCTAGGATTACAGGTGTGAGTCACTGGCACCTAGCCAAAGTTTCTTTTTTATAATACAGCACATACTACATACATGCCAAACATGGACCCTACCAGGAGAAAGACCTCCCATTTAGCATTATCTTTTTGGCTGTCAGAGGACAAGTTCTCCCCAATTAACATAGTACACTGCAAATCCCTTGCCCTGAAGAGAAGAAAAAGGGTGCTGGTAGTAGGCCTGTGACAAGAAGTGAGAATCTGTGTAAGGAAATCCTCAGCATGGTGTAAGACATTTTAGTTAGCCTAGGACACAAGAGCCGGGCTGAATACTTCTACCCTAGTGCTTTTATTAAATAGCTATGCACTTAAAATCAAAGTAACACATTCAGAGATGAACAAAATATTAGTAAATAGGCATCACTCTTCTTTTTCCAGGGCTGAGGACCGAACCCAGGGCCTTGCGCGCGCTGGCAGGCGCCCTTCCGCCGGGCTAAACCCCCAGCCCTGGCATCACTCTTCTTTCTGCTTCTGGAAAAACTAGTGCATCATCTACCAGACAAGCCTTCTTCTGTGCATCAGAGCAGAAAGAAGGGTTTGTAAGCAACTGTGTCAAAAATGAAAACAAGAAATCCAAATTCTTACTTTTCTCCTAAGTTCTCTCTCTTGTCTCTTCAGATCTTTCTGTCTGAGGCAAAAAGAAGTCTCAAACATCGTGAATTGAGCCAAACCACTCGTATTTGTTACATCCTGTGCTCAAGTCTGCAGCATGGAGCAGGGGGATGGAACTAGATGACCTCCACCAGAGGCCTCTCCTGTGGTCTTAAGGGTCTGTGATATGGCATTTGTATAGCCAACAGGCAGCCTAACAGACAGAAGAACATGCCAGGAAAATTCAGAAGGACTCTGCTTGTCTCCTGGGCCAAAATTAAGTTGAATACACACGATGTTGAGTTTCAGGTCCAACCCTTTGCCATCAGATGGCATCAGAACAAGAAGAGTGTGGGCAGCTTTGTCTGCTCAGCCAGCTAAGGGCTGCACTGCTGGGGCCAGGCTGGCTGGCCACAGGCAGGCTCACAGAGTGGCCTCATAGCGCTGGAGCCAGACTCAACGGCCAGCCGGCGACAATCTCTCAGACACTGCCATGTGTCACATCAAACCAGCCGTCTAGCTTAGCAATGCACTCAAATTTCTCATACATTTTTCCTTCTAACATCATAACTTCAAGACAAATGACACTTTCTACAAAACCTGGGTCAGCATCTAGGAAGTGTTTCCCCAACTGGGCATTTCGTCAGCTCCTATTACACCTACTGCTAAATGACAACAAGCAGAATAATCCTCTTCCTGCACTGCCACTTAACAAATATTAAAAGTGTTATGCAGTTGGGCAACTTCATTTGGGGAGATTTTCACCCTTTATTGAGCTCTCTAGAGGCTGAGTTAAATGTTCAGGGAAAAAGTGAAATATCACAAGCTCTGATTGATGTTGAAGTAACACCAGGTATTATTTTACACAAGTGAGGTAAATCACTATGATGAAAACATCATCAGGGATTTGACAGCTTTTGAGTTTGAATCTCTCCTTTGAAATAGGAACCACAGAAGGAAAAGAAGCGCTCCCAGGCCCCGTCTGGCGTTCCCCGGCAGTCATATCAGGCCCACTAGGCAAAATGTGTTCCACCGTCCGTCAGAGGTCTTAGAGCTAGCTGCTTCAGAGCAGGCACTCGCCACCCAACTGCAGCCCGGCATCAGAGCTGGGGAGCAAGTGGCAGACTGGGCAGCACACTCTGCTGGCCCCCACTGGCTCCTCCCTGGTGTGCTTGAGGTGGAAGGTGTGCCCCAGGGCACGTCCAGCACCCATCGCTGAGTACTCAGGGGCAACCCTAGAATGAATGTCCAGTAACCGTAGGAGCCATGAGTTCTGTCTTCTCATGCTCTATGCTGCATAAACCCAGCCACATCCAAGCACTTTCCCAACTGCCACATTCCCAACTACTGTCTGTTTTCATCTAGTCTATATGGAATCAATCATAGAATCCTATCAGTTCTGTTTCCCTAACTTTTTTAGGGGGCGGGGAGGTCGTTCATGGGGCTTGAACTGAGGGCCTGGGCATTCTCTGAGCACTTTCGTTCAAGGCTAGCACTCTACCACTTTGAGCCACAACTTCATTTCAGTTTTCTGGTGGTTAACTGGAGACAAGAATCTCACAGGGAATTTCCTGGCTTCAAACTGCAATCCTCGGACCTCAGCCTCCGGAGCAGCTAGGATCACAGGAGCGAGACACCAGTGCCCAGCTTCCTTGACTCTCTTAACACATAGTATTTCTTTATTCCTACTGCCTCAAGCTTCATATACCCTTGTGCATCTTTCCTGGCCTCACGGTTCCTCAGTCTTTCCTCTAATACATCCTACACAGCAATGTTCAGCCCTTAAGCATCAATGCATAGTCCCTAACTGTTTGTGGATAAATTCTAAATTTCTTAGTATGACCAGCACCCACTAGTGCTGAGTTCCTGTTCAAACACATCATCTGTCATTCTATCACACTTAGTCTGTGTTACTGTATGGCAAATCTTCACGGCCTATCTCCAGTTCCTGTAGTTATGAACAATACTACCTGCTGTTCCCTTAGCCCTTTCTGCACACTTCTCTCCTAAACACACTGGACCCGGTGATCTCTTCAGATACTTGTTTCCCTAGAAATAATGGAACAAGAAGCTGGGGGCAGTGACCCTGTCTTTCTCTCAGAATGGGGCACAGGGGTGCAAAGAAGACATCCTCGTAAGTGTTGCTGATTCTATTAATTAAGCCAGGAGAGTGAAAAGATGCCCTTCATCAGGGTACTTGCATCTAGTCTCTTGTGGCCTGAGAGCTGGTGCTGTGACATTTATTAATCTCTCCAGGCTTTGGTTTTCCATCTGCTGAATGACTGATCCACAGTCTCTTTAGTACTTCCATTCTAGCATTCAGACTATCTTCCTTTAAACCTACAACAAAGGGAATATGAAGCCCTCTAGGAACCTGGGCAGTCTACAAGGCCAGGCAGGAAGCTGCTCTTCTGCAGGCCTCTAGGCCGAGCTCCAAAGGCTCCTGGGGAAGGCTGCTCTCTAGCACCCTTCCTCTCGTCAGCCTCCGCTGGGTATGAAGAAAATCATAGCTGCTTGTACTGTTTCAGACTACAAATTTCAGCCCCAAAGCATCTTATTAAATACTATGCACGAGTTTTAAAAAAAAAGTGAAAAGAACGATCATCCTTGCTACTTGCAAGTACTGAAAACGCAATTGCTGACTTGAGCCCCTAGGCTTCCCAATCACCTGGTGACACCGTACTCCGGAGGCGGCTGGTACCTCAGGACGGCCACTTCTGTTCTCACAGGCTGAGGGGCAGGGTACGGTGTCACCATCTCATGGAGCACCCCAGGGTGCTGGTCGTTGTAGAAAAGTCCGTGATCCTGGTTCTTGTTGACGGGAGACACCATGGGCTTGGTCTTGAAGGGGTAATCGGGTGGAGGGCCGCGCGGGTCCAGGGCTTTACTAGCAGGCGGGGCTGGGTTCGGTCCCCCTCCGGCTTTGAACCCCTTTCCATTCCCCGATCCAGGGAGGTGCTGCTTGGCACCATTCCTCTCCAGTGAGAGCTGCATGATCCTCTCGCTGAGCGAGCGGACATGGCCCTGCTTCAGCTCCTTCAAGGCGTCGTCCTTATGTGCGTGTCCGCCGTGGGCGCGGTTCACTGTGGGCCTTCCCTCTGTGCGCGACTTCTGGCTGGTGCCCCCCGCCATGTAGTAGCCGTGGCCCACGGGTGTCTGCTGCTGCTGCTGCTGTGTTTGCTGCTGCTGTGTCTGCTGCTGCCCTCTGAAAAACTGGGACTGGGCTTTGGCCTCCTCGTACGTGGGCAGCTCCTCATTGTTCTGCTGAGGCTGTGTGGGCCGGACCTGCCTCTCCATCGCCGCACTGTCCACCTGGCGTTCTTGACCCTGAGGCTCCTGGCGCGCTGACGGGTAGACCATTTGTGGCTCTTCTTGAATGAGGGTTTCCGTGGAAGAAAAGCTGCTTGCTGCGTGAGGAGGTCCTGCACTCCCTGTGGCTTGGTGCTGAATGGCCAGCAAATTCATGTTCTCGGTAGGGGTGCCATAGCGCAGTTGTTCCTGGATCAGCCGCTGTAACACTGTTCCAGCAGCCACATCCTCCGAACCTCTCATTTCCACCTCTGAGATCCTCAGGAAGTTTCAAAGAGGATCTTCAACTAAAGGATAAACACAGGAAAAGACACATCAGGCCATTCCCCAGGAAACGTGTCTCTGTGTGGTGAACAATAAACATTTTAATTACAGTAGCATTTAAAGACAAATGTCAACTATACCATCAGTTTCATCTCCCCTCTGATATCTCACGGACCTATTTCTCTAACTCCCAGCACGTCCCCTTTTCCCCCCACCTCCCGACTTTTGATTCCCTCTCTTTGTACCCACTACTCCTGAACTTTTGTATCCTTCAAACCCTCCCTCTTTCCTTTAACTTCTCCACCTGTCTCTCTTCTTCACCAGGAAAACATATCCAACTCTTTCCCATCTTAAAAAATAACAATTTTTAAAGCCCAAACCAATACACACACACACACACACACACACACACACACACACACACACACACTTCTATTGGCTCTACCATAGACTTTTCATTGTTACCCTTCATCTCCCTTTCCTTGTCTTCACTAAGCAACCTATACAACCAAAATCTCAAATGCTCTGATTAGTAACAAAACCCAAGAACAGCGTCTGGCTCTCACTGACCTACACACAGGGATATTTAGGAGATGACTGCAGAAGAAATTAAGGAATTCTATAGGGCTGGAGGAATGACTCCACAATAGTACATCTATGTATGAAGCACAAGGCCCCAAGTCTAAACCCCAATTTTATAGACTGGACACTAAAACTGAGCTTTGATCATTAGATTTGCCCTGACTCCTGGCAAAAAAACAAACAAAACAAAAGAAAAACAACAACAAAACTTACTGCTATGATCTCAGGCAAATTATTTGGCTTTTCTGCATCTCTCCTTTGAAAAATAGGGAGATTAAATATCTGCCTCACAAGAATGTCGTCAAACTTATCCCTTAGCATTAAAGAATGCAAGCTATAATTGAATGTAAATGCAAAAGTCCAACAATAAAAATAGATTGTCAAGGCAGGAGCCAGTGGCTCACA